CCTGGGCTTATTTTGACAAAATTCATAAATAATAAGCTGATTCTGAATCTTGCTGTGGAGGATTCAGAATTCATTAACTGCAGTTGATAAATAATTGTTCTCTGTGGCAAAGGGTTTTGCATCAGTTTGCTAAAATGCTTTATCTAGAGTTCCTCCTGGGAAGTGGGCTGAGTCCTTGGAATGGATTGAATTTAAGAATTTCACATGCATTTAAAGATTTATCCACTGTCAGTGATTATTTTTTTGCGTATGAATAAAGCATGGGGGGTTTGATTCCTCCATGCTGGGCCTTTAATTATATTCTAGGTAACATTACTTATGAGTGAAGTAGAAAGGCATGTTGCTGAAATAATAGGAAAGCAAAGGGCAGACGTCTTTAATAATCTATTCTTACTTCCCTCAAGTTGGTATTAGAATTAGAGTTTACAGATGCCTAGGAACCTACCTATTTGTGAAACTTGCTGAATGATATTTTTGCTACATTCTGCTGCTATAGTCCTCAGCAGGTTCTATTTTAAAACTCACAGTGCCATAGCAAGATTTTTGCAATAGAAGTTTGATAGATTGCAATCTTTAGCTGGTCTAAAACTGAACTGGCATGTGTTTTGATTGGAACACTGGCATATGAGAAAGTTGATGACTTTCTTCTGTATGTATCGCTTAACTAAATTCTAGCATTTCATCTAAATTGTTATTAGTTGTGTTGGGAGGAAGAACAGTAAAATAATAAAAAATGACATTTATTATGGCTCATTTCCCCCCAGGAGAATATTATATTGTTTCCTCCCTCCACTATATTGTCAACACAAACAAATGATGAAAGTAGCATTTTGTCATTGTATGTTGTTAATATTAATCAGGAAAATAGCAAGAAAGTAAAGTCTGAATATTGTCCCTATTACCATTTGCTGGGGGTAAAAATTAGAAGTTCCTGCATATACTTTAAATAAGAAGAAAAATATAGTAGATCTGAAAATGGATCTCCAGTAGAGCCATTGAGGGTGGGCAGGGAGTGCAATAGGGGTAAATGGCAAAAAACTCTGATTCTGTAGGAGCCTCTGGTCCCTGATCATGTCTGTTATGGCTTTTGGTTATAATTTATTTCAACTTATTTCTTCCTAAAAATTAGTGGCAAGTTTTTGTTTGGTGTCAGAAAACAATGTTCCATTTATACTTTAGCTAATGTTGGCCTTGCTGCTATGCTTCCTTATATGTAGCCGATCTTAATTCATGTCTAAAACAACCAATGTTTATTCATAGAGAGAATTTTAAAAATGGGTAACAGTAGGAGACCATTGAATTGCAATAAATAAATTTTATTGTATCTTGGACGGTGGACTGATGTATCTTGGACTGATGTATCTGGATCTGATGTATCTGGACTGATGAGTGAACTGATGTATCTTGGATTTCCCCAAAAAAACACTGTAATATAAAAACATATATATTACAGTGTTTTTTGGGAAAATCCAAGATACATCAGTCCACTAACTTGCTATCATAAACTCTAGGCAGTATTTTAGTGTAAATATGCAAGTGAAAGAAAACATCAGTAATGCCTCTTTGATGCTTAAAATGAAACATGGATAAAATCTTGCATGTAACTGGTCTGTTTAAATCTCATATAAGTAAATTTGAATTAAGCAGAGTAGGCACGCGATATGCAGGATTATATAGTTAAGGGTGAGTGCCATGCTTATATCCTCCCCTTCAACCCTCAGCCTTGTCATACCTCAGTGCTTCTTTCATCATTTGTTGATATGAGCAATATTATGGAGGAAGTCAGGGAAGCCATAATCATAGAAAGAAAAATTGACTACTACAGTTTATTGATTAGAGTTCTGAAAGCCTACGTGGTGTGCTAATGTTTATGGCAGAAACAGCTATCTTGGGTTAGTTAGGTCATAAGCCATTAATTTGGATCTAACCTATGACCTAGTCATATGTGTTAAACTTAATAGCCCTCTAGCTAGTCTAGGCTGTGATTCTATAACCTTCTAAGATGTGTTTTAAGAAGTGGTCCAGTATGTGGCATCCTACACAATGGTAGCTGTCAAATTGTGACAACATTGCTTTGAGGAAAGCAAACTTCTCAAGGACAAAGCCGGTCACGTAGTTGGTAAAATTCTTTCTCAGCCATATAACCAGGGGCTAAATTCTTATTGTAGCAAGGAGACATTATATAATTTGGGAAAGACAAAGAATAGAGCCAGTCCACGCTCCCTATTTATGGCCTGTAAGAAGACGGAATGGGAAGATTTCTTCTCCATTCTGCTTCCCATGTCTCATCCCTGGTGCTGATTGGCTCCCAAGTCAGTGTCCCAGCTTTCAGAGCAGCAACAGAAGCTGCTTCCAAGCTTCCTCTCTTCTCCGTCCCTTTTTCTTCACCCTGCTGCAGCCATAAAGGTGGACTCCATCTAAAGAGAGATCTGTGCATTAAACCTATAGATTTTGTTTCCTTTGAACCAAGAAACTGCTGTTACTTAGTTGTTCAAACTAGGCTGTAACACTAGAATAGGATCCTAATCCAAGATTAAAGCCAGTCTAGATATAATGAATTTGAGGCAAACCCAATGAAAGTAGCAGGGCAGGTAGTGAGCAATAGCAGACAAACTTAATATTCATATGTAAGCAACAAAGCATTGTGTATTAAGCCAAGGTCATTAGGTCTGTACTCACCTGAAATATAAAAATGGAGCACATTACAACTGTTAAGTATATTTGCATCTTATATCACTCTCCCTTTCCTCAAACAATCTTATCTACTCGTCATCAAACTCTAATACTTGTATTACTGTTTGTTAAATCAAGAGCTTGTCAAAAGTGGCTTCCTTGTTGTGTTATAGTCTTTGTTAATGGGGTACACATACTCTGCTGGATGAGTGCATAGTATATAATGGCCAATTACTCTTATTCCAGTTCCCTTGGCTGTTCTTTGTAAAAGAAAGGAAATGACTATTTAGTTACATAGAACTATATCCCTCAGGAAATTTATGTATGCCAGATTAAAATTTGGCATATTGTAAAGCAGGTCTGCAGATTTTTATGGTGCTTCAGAAGTTTTGCAATAGGTCATTGGCAGAGTTATTGGTACCGGGTCCTGGGTAAATAGTTATACCTTTCCAGAAATATCAGGAGGAATTGGTCATCATTATAAGTAATTGTTCCTGTTATTTATTTATTCATCTATTTCAATCTACATCATTAATTCTACTTCTTGTGTTACATTTCTGTTTTATAGATTTAGGTAAATGTTTATTTTCTGTATTTAACTCAAATGCCACAAATACTGAAGAATATTTTGGTGATCCGTTGTTGTATTTGGCACTTTACAGATACTGGCTTCAAGAAACTAACTTTCTTAATATTGATAATGAGGAAAGGAAAAATAATGATAATAGATAAGCTTTGAACAGCTAAATTTAATATCTGGTTAATCTGTCATTATAAAGCTGTTTTTTAGTAGATTTAGATTACAGAATCAACAAAATGATAGTTTGGAAGTGGGACCAAGCGTAGACTCAAAGTTGGCATAATTGAGCCCCTGCCAAGGCCCACACCACTGCCATTTAAATTGAGCCCTTTGACCCTCAGGAGAAAATAAACAGATTAAAGAGTGATAAGTCATACAAAGATGAAGTAGCATCAGTGTTTGTGGGATACCGTCCTAGTATGCAATAATGAGCAATTCACTTACATCATCTTACCCAGTTCCTGCAAAATCCTGAAGCTTGTACTGATTGGCTAAATAACAAATTCTTTTTAATCTGGTTAGGCCGTCATTGTAAGCTTTGAATTGGCTCAGCAAATAGAGTGAAAAAATGCTTCATGTTCATGTTACCTGTAAATGAGGATATACAAAATGTTTTGAATTTGAGGACTAAAACAAAATGTTTTGAATTCAAAACAATAGTTTCACATTGTTCAGATCGGAAGTATTTCAAGCTCAAACCACATCTGCTTTGAGCTTGAAAAGAGCTGCTTTGAACTGAAAGCAGTTCTGGAATAGTCAGAAACACTATTTCCGACTTCAAAGAACTATTCCAAATTTGAAATGTTTTGCACACTCCTAGCTGTAAATTGGATTTATGTAGCTTGTTTTGCCCTGAAATGTACTATAATTATTTGATCAGATTTATGTAATCTTTTGAACTAGTCAATGTAAGCCTGGTTCTAGTGAATTGTAGAAGAGTGTTTCATATTTTTCACATTCTTTGTGGGATTGTGCAAGATAAGTCTTCCTACTTATCCTACACATATGTAAGAGATGAACTGAAGTCCAAAATTTCTAGAAGGTACCAATTCATTGAAAGAATGTCTTAGAGCTGAACCTGTACTAGATTCTTCATATGATTTTATCTCATTTAGAAATGTTACTACACAGTTGGATAAAGTGTGCACATATTTCTGTATATCAGAGGCAATGTTTGTATTCTGGTCTATTTTAAGTTTTGGCATGCAGGACTTTATGATACTGTTGCACAACAGATTTCTAATAGTGTTGAGAATAGGTAGTTTATAGTTGCATAAGCGCTTAACACAGGAAGAATGTGCAATAGTTCCTCAGCTCCTTGTACACAACCAGGCTTGTATTCCATGCAGTTGGTTGTGTATTCAATAAATGGATGATATACCTGGGAATTTTGCTAGGTTGTGGGCACAGTGCAGAACACCTACACAGTATTCCAGTGTGTTGTAGATGGAGGCCTTACTGTGTTGACGTTTGGGCTGTTATGGCACTCAGTGGCAGAGGACCATATTGACACTATTTTCTTATGATTAAGGCCCTTCAGATAAGAAAAAAAAGCATTTTAGGTCTGAACCTTCAATCCTAACTCACTCAAGATAATTTAGTTATGTAATACAACTAGCTGAACTACAGTTACACTGTGATTAATCTTACAGGAAGCCATAATTTATATACATGGCTTTCATTTTTTTTATGTCATTGTTTTAATATTGTTGTAATACTGTTTTAAAATATTTTGTATTTTCCCCAGTTTATTTTAGGATTTGAAGGACGCAAAATACTGTATACATGGCAAAGAACATAACGTTTCTTCAGACAATTTTAATGTTCTTACTGCATGGTTGCATATTGGCTGAAGGCGATGATACAAGAGCAAGTAAGAATTTTGCTAACCAGAGCTACTTAATAAAATATAGAAACTTTCTTTAGACAGGTCTCCATCCTCTGTTCTATTTGATATTATCTCTACTTAATGTTGTTAATATTTGTGATTTCACATTGTAGTTTTTGCAGTTGTTTGATTACAATATTTGAGATAGTCCTAAGGAAGTCGTCTTTTGCTACTTATCCTGCAGCGTGGAACAGAACCTCTAGAATTTTATATTTCTGTATCTTCTCTGGTCTCATTGGTGTTTAAATCAAAATGAGAAAGCTTTCCCTGAGTTTGCTCTGTTTGCTCTACTATGAATATCAGGTCTCCTGTTGAACAAACAATGATCGGGTGGGCTGCAAGAACATACCATATTAGTTATCTCCAAACCAATACTCTTTCATGTAAATTATTCCATTTGGCTACATAATGTTAAGCTGAAAATGAATGATATATGTGAATTAAAGCTGCAGTACAATATTACAGCATGGAGAGAAGTCTGGGTTCAGGCTTAATCATTTCATTCCATTTCCATCTTCATATTTTCTTTCTCTCAACAATCTACGCCCATTAAGCCTTCACAGTCCTCAGTGGGCTGGTTTAAGCATTATTTATCTTTCTCAGTAATTTTTCTAAGGAAAGCTTTATTTTTTCAGAGTGGGATTTTTCTACAGCTGCTGATAGCTCCTTCTCATGCCTAGATGATACCATTTTGACTGCATAATCAGTGGCATTCAGAGTTCTTAGATGATGCATGTGCACTTAAATGCAAAAGTACTGGGATTAGCTGAGGATTCTTTGAAAATAGGCTTGATGGTGAATTCAAACTTCTTGTGTTTTGCTGTGCATTATGGAAATACCCCAATAGTCAATTCTTTAGACTCTTCTGAGAAAATTATACAGAATGGTGCCATGGAGAAGCAATGTGCCAACAACTTACAATATCTTGAAGCTAGCCTACACTTCATTTTATACATCATAATTGGTTAAAGCCAACAGTACAAATTGTGGAATTCAGGTTCATCTATATATTATCTTTGAAGGGCACTCTGTATATGCCTGATGTAATAGCAGTACAGGTAGTCCCCAGTTTAAGAATGAGTTCCGTCCCCAAGGTCTGTTCTTAAGTTGAATTTGTATGTAAGCCAGAACAATATTATTATATAATACTGTACAAGTAGTATTGCGTAATGAACTCAAACCATTGTATATTTAACTTGAACTTTGCTACGTAGGTTCCGTTCTTAACTATGGATTGTCTGTAAACCGGGCATTCTTAACCTGGGGACTACCTGTAGTTTTTTTTTTTTTTTTAATATTCATTGAAAATATCATATTTTCAGAGCAGTTTAGAAGTTGACATTATAAAGTGCTTTTGAGTACAATGATTAAAATAAATTAAATGGCAGCAAAAACCATTGTAAACCAGTACAGATGTTTAAAAGCATGGACATTTTTTTTTTTAAGTCTTTATCTGGTACTTAAAATTAGGACGAGTTCCCCCTTGGAGAAAACATAACCAAGGTGCCATGATTGAGAAGGCCCTTTCAACCGTGGCTTCCTCAAGATTTTCCTATCAAGTGTTTCAGTTCTAAATGTTCAGTTACTAAATATATTTTAGAATTTAAAAGTTAGTATGCTAATTTTGCAATGCATTATCATGTCTCAAGGAAATCCTTTTGACTTGGGTCTAACTTACAGTGAACAATTATTATAAAGGACAGTCCTTTATTTCAGAAAGTTGTCCTTAGGATTTCTTTATTTTTCAAAAACTCACTTTTGTCCTTTATTTTGGTCATTTAACTTTTACCATACAAATGGTACCACTTAATTCACAGTTTTTCACAGTCATGGGAAAAATAAGGAAATTGAATTGTCTTTTTAGAATAAATTTACTTATACTGCTTGATTTTAGATATTTTTATTAGAATATGCGTTTTTGTAAAGTTTTTCTTGGTTTTGCTGTTAAATTTTCCTTTGTAAAGCAAAGTTATAAACATGAACAATTAATTTTTTTTATCCTTATGAACTTCTTTCAGATTTGCCCCTTTTTCAGATTTTTCCTTTACTTTTTTCCAAGAAAATATGGTCACTGTATGATCCCAGCCATGTGAATGTGCCTTGAGCTTATGACTCACCCTTTTGGTGACCAATCCAGTTCACTGTTACACTAACTGGGAAATAAGGTCCAGGGAACAAAACTTTTCTCCAAAGTTGCTTCCTTTATTCAGTCCCAAGCTCCATTCCTGGAAAGCTGTTAGGTTTCTTTTTAATGCAGGTTTGGGGGTCTCCCTTCCATCTCTGGGGTTATTTGGCCCAAAGGCCTCTTTGTGAAGTGGGGTGTTTCTGCATCCATCTGAGTATCAAGTTGCAGCCTTTGCCTTCGAGTAAATGAGTTGGCCAAGTATATTTACAGATAGTGAGTGGAAGCAAACCAGAAAGCTTTTATGGCCAAATAATGAGACTGAACAGATAATGGTCACCCTGACTAGGAATTATGGGATGTGAGAATCAAGAGAGCCATCAGGTTTGGGAAAACTGAGCTAGGATTTTAGTTTATGCTCTTCACATAGCCGACAAAATCCAGCACATTTCAATTGTTATAGTAACCTACTATTCATTAGAGCAATCAATTAACATTTAGTAAAGGAATAAATTTCAAATGGAAACCTAAGTAAATTATTATTTCTTTCTCATTCTCACAGTCCACTGTGTTGCATAATGGTATTGCTGGTCTTTTCTTCTTGTAAGATTGGGAAATATAGTACTTTTGCATCTGAGGGATATTTTCCCTGAATACAAGAGAATGTGGAAACCTACACACTGAGTATCATTTGGGAGAAGAGTATAGAAATGTTCTAAATAACTATACGGAGAACCCTGAATCACTGTCAATGTTAGCTAACTAATTCATTGTAAGCAGCCGTCAGAGCATTAATTGTAGAGAACCAGTAATGGGTATAAGGCAATGAGGGGAATTTTTGGATGTGTTCTGGGAAATATTTCCACAGGATTGGAGAGGAGTGTTTTAGTAAGTGCTTTCCCTCTAGTGAATTATTAAAACCACAAACTACTCAGCAGGGTTTGAAATGGTATTAAGCCACATCCTGTGTGGTGTGGAGAAAGGATGTGTATTGCTACATTTTCATTAGGCAGATGATTAATTAATCTGTTTGAAAGATCTCAACTCTCAAGACAAAGCATGATTCTACTAGTTTAATTTATTATCTAATAAATATAGCGAAAGCCATTTTATTTCAAAGAGAAAACAAAACAAACTTGTGACTGGCCAGTATTGAGCTTTTCCCAAGAAACTGAAGTCACAAATATCCTTTTAAACTGTACCTCTATATATGAAGTACAAAAATAGTGAATCGTGGGTTCCTTTCTATTTTTTTTTTTACTCATATGGAGTTATTCTTCCAATTATATATTTATTGTAAGTTTGTTTAAAAGTTGATTGAATGTACTGGGGCCATACTGGTATCACACACAAAAAACTTGAGAATAGAGTACAGGTTTATGCAATTTTTGTTTATCACATTTTAAGACTAACTACATGAAATTAGTAATATGAGTTATAAGTTGCCTTCATGGAAACGTATTTGTCGTTAAATAGCATTGAAATGAATAAGTCTTCAAGTTAGTTGTGATTAACTAACTTGTTGTTAGGTTTTAGCTCATCTCATCTGGACATGAGATTCAGAACAGCCCAATATATTTTTACCTAGAAATAGGTATAATTACATTTGGTGAAGTTTACATCCTGGTTTTCAGTCTCAGGGATACTGACTATCTTGGATTATAGTTGCAAAGGCACTAATAAAACATTTTTCTCTCTATTTGTTTTAGGTTGCCGAACAGCCCCAGCAGATTTAGTTTTCATCTTGGATAGTTCCTACAGCGTTGGCCCAGAAAATTTTGAAATAATCAAACGATGGCTGATCAATATTACAAGTAACTTTAACATAGGACCAAAGTTTATGCAGGTTGGAGTTGTTCAGTACAGTGATTATCCTGTACTTGAAATTCCTCTTGCGTCTCATGATTCTAATGAGAATCTAATCAGAGAAATGGAATATGTTCAATATTTGGGTGGAAATACAAAAACAGGCAGAGCAATTCAGTTTGCACTTGACCATCTATTTGCTAAATCCTCAAGATTCCTTACAAAAATTGCAATTGTTCTAACCGATGGTAAGTCCCAAGATGAAGTCAAAGATGTGGCTGCTGAAGCCAGGAGAAATAAGATCACGCTGTTTGCCATTGGTGTTGGTTCTGAAACTGAAGAGGATGAACTGAGAGCAATTGCCAACAAACCCTCTTCCACATACGTGTTCTATGTTGAAGATTATATTGCAATATCCAGAATAAGAGAAGTAATAAAGCAAAAACTCTGTGAAGGTAAATATTAATCTTTCTTTGCAGAGCACTTACTGGCATGAAAATATCACTGTGTGTGGTCTGTATCAAATATCACAGTTTTTTAAAGCAATGAATTATCAGTAATCAAACTTTTGGGTCAACATTCATCTTAAATCTTCGGCCAGCAGCCGAGAATGTTGCCATGTTGAGAGTCACTGATGTCTTCAATCTGCCAAATGTAAGTATGTAAAAAATTCATTAGACCTACTTGGCCTGTTCACTAGGAGGAGGACTGGGAGAGCAGAATGGATGTTACAGCCAAAGGAACAGTGCAAAAGGATGTGACTCACTGGATTCCTCAAAGATACTCCCCAAAGGGAATGTTGTGATATCTTCCCTGGAGGACCACTGCTATGGGACCTTGGTGATATAAGCAGGGATGGTTGTCTTCAGTAATACTTGACAATAATTTTATTTCTTCAGTAGCTTTGAAAAGAGATGTCAAGGGGTTAAGCCTGATGGAAGCTAACCCAATTACTTGGCTTGTGATTTTTGCAAAAATAAACAGAAATCCCCAAGTTACATTGTTGGTGTTTTTTAAAATATATTTATGCAACCATTTGTATGCCTGCTCCATAGATTCTGGGTAGCTTATACCCATACAAGAATAAAAACTTACATAAAGCCACAATGATAAGCAGTAATTAAACAGCATCTTATTGGGTACAGTAAGGTCAAATAGGTGCTGTCACCCTTGTGTAGCATTCTCCTTCCCAAAGGATCTGCAAAAAAGCATGATCTTAATTGCTGTTCTGAATGCTGACAAAGAATGGGCTATCCTAACCTGGTGGGGACGGCTGTAACTGAGAAGGTGGTGTGATCTCAGGGGGCTTCTGCAGCTGAAAACATTCTCATAATCTTTCATGGTAAACCTCTTGTTCTTTTTTATGCTGCAGAGTCCTGCTGATGAAAGCATGCTGAAGCCTGGGGTAGAGACATACAAAATATTACTCACTTTGTGCTCTGCATCTATTCCTGGTGATGCAGAGACTAATCTCAGTAAATTAAATGATATAGCGATCTTTCTATGTGAAATTAAACTTAATCCGTAGCATTCAAAATGTGTTCTTTTCTATTTTTCAAAAACAATAATTGCTGGGTGGGATCTAGAGATTCCATTCTTTTCATGGAAGGAATCAGTCTCTGAACTGTATATACTATAATTGTATGTAATATATATATATATAATTGTATAGAAAAAGTCTTCATAGATTCTCTGGAAAATGCTACATCTTTTAAAAGGGTCTCAAATGTACAGAAACAAATTCAAGACATAAAATTCAACATGGCGGGAGGTCAGTGTTTGCAACTTGCATATTTTTTTAAAAGATAAGTTGAACCATATGGGCCCCCATCTTGGATCTGTGTCAGAGTACAGCAAGAAGAGACAGTTCTTTTCTCTCCTGCATAATTCCTTATGAGAATGGCCTCCTTGGTAAGGTAGGACAGATATTGAAGAGATTAGAGTTAAATACTTTATTCTATAGTACCAGAACAAATCTCTCCTCCTTGCCAACACATACTTTTAAAAACCGCGGAGGATCTAATCATGAACCTCCACTTTGTCTTTCTTGGAGGGCTGTGATGATAGCTGTTTAGGCAGAATCTTTCCTCCAACTCTTTTGTTATGGTTTACATTCCTTTGAGAAGTGATACTGATCTAGATGGTGTTTTATTATTATTGTTATGATTTAGTCTTGAGAGAGAGTCCGTGAATAGGATGCATATAATTTGCCAGTTCCATTCTGTCTGTGTGTAGAAACTGTTTCCAGTTTTCTCCTCTTTTTTAAAAAGACTATAGGAACAAAATCTTCTTGTTTATTCTATTGTTTTAAAACAGTACTGTAATAGAACAAACTCAAATATTAAAAATATATAATGATACAGCAACATCCTTCACCTTGCAAATGTTTGATGTAAAAGCAGAGTTTTGCTTCTGAGATTAAAAATGCTTTGTATCATGCAGCTAATACTGGCATTTAGTTTGTAAGATGTCTTATTATTGTACTTTGTCATTGTAACAAGGGTTTGCAGTCCCATTTAAGTGTTCAACTAGCGTTGGTTTATACATTACAGTATGATAAGTGGATGGTTACTGTCTATAAGTTTATGTTTCTTATAGATCATTTTTTTTTCTTTTTGCTCTGGATCATTCTCCAGAAATATCCGGGAGGGTTGCCAAATATGTGCAATTGTAATTGTTACAACAAAAATTAAGATTTATTAATGAAAATGTTTATTGCTTGGTTAATTCCTATCTGGATACAGTTCATTTTTTATTTTATTAATTATGTGGCTGTTTCTGTGTTAACTTTTTTTGTTTTATGCAATTGTGTTCTATTACAGTCAGGTCCAGAAATATTGGGACATCGACACAATTCTAACATCTTTGGCTCTAT